ACCTTTCCTTGAGAGGTAAGTTAAGCCTAGTAAAACTCTCAGAAATCTATCTGTGCTATCACTTCTACACAGACATTTACTGAGATTTTTTAAAAGACCCAGAAACTATCTTCATAAAAACAAACCATAGTAGACACTACCCTCGGGGTTACAAAAATTCTACCAAAAACTGAACAGCAACATATAGGCTTATTAATCTGGAATGTAGAATTTAGAATTTTGCAGATGGCAAACAAGTATCTAGGCATGAAGGGCCATAATATATACAATATCCATAATAAACGAAGGACTTAACTCATCTGTATTCAGACAGATAAGATTTTGTTTCCTTATTCCTATCAAGTCTGACCCAGGAAGGACTTAGGGCAGAGTCAGGTTTTCTTACTCTCATTTTACTTGCGAGGCCTCTGAAATCCAGAGAGAGAGAGTGACCACAGAGCCATACAGCCTGCAAGAAGCAGAGGTGGACCCAGGCTCTGGCAGCCCAGCGCAGCACCCATTCCGATACTTGTTCAACTGCAATACTGATCAAATGTGCCATAATATCCAAGGGTGATTTTTTTTTAAATTTTTTATTTGAAAATAATTTCAAAAACATACAGAACAGTTCAAGGAACAACCACACCTCCTTCACGCAGGTTCACCTATTGCTAACATTTTACTCCATTTCTTTGCAATCTGCTATCTGTCTAACCAGGGCTTCCCACGTGGCACAGTGGTAAAGAACCCACCTGCTAATACAAGAGACGTGGGTTTGACCCCTGGGTGGGGATGATACCCTGGAGAAGGAAATGGCAACCCACACCTGCATTTCTGCCTGGAAAAAAATCCCATGGACAGAGGAGCCTAGTGAGCTGCAGTCAACGGGATCACTCAAGAGTCGGAAACGACAGAGCAATGGAGCAACGCACACCCATCTGTCTGTCCATCCATCCCCATAACAATATTTTCTGAACCACTGAGAAGACATTGTATAATTATGGCCCTTTACCCCTAAATACTTGAGTTTATATTCCCTAAGGGTTTTGCTACACACTACAGTACAAACATATTTTAAAATGATAACATCTTCTACTATCTATGTCCCCTTTTGTTCACTGACCTAAGAATACATTTTTATCGTTTTCCTCCTACCATACAGGGTCCAGCACAGGATCAGTTACCGCATATGCTAGTTGTCACTGCCCTTTAGTATTATTTAATCTGGAACATTTCCTCAGCCTTTGTCTTCTATGACATTGACATTTTTGAAGAATATAATCCCCTTTTATTTCTTTGGAGAATGATCTTCATTTTTTATTTCTCTAATGTTTTTTTGTGATTAGGTTCAGGTGGTACACTTCCAGATGGGTTACTGTGAAAGAGATGCTGGGTCTTTCTCGGGTTCTCACATCCAGAGGCACATGATGTCCATCTGTCCCTCACAGTGACATTAATTTTGATCATGTGGTCAAGCTGTTGCCTGGTTTTTCCATTATATACTTATTATTTTCCCCTGAAACTAATAAGGACCTGGGGCAACACCTTAAGACCATAAAATAGCGTGCTCCTCCTCAAGGATGAATTTTTATAACAGTATTTTCACTATGTTATTAAAAAAAAAATGACCTCTACATCATAAAAAAACCCTAGGTTTTACTTATTATTCCCGAATAAGTTCCATGCCAATTTTAACATCTGTTTTTATTACAGTAGTCCATGTACACTGGTTGTTTATTAAAAACCATTCATTAACTGTCTGCTATCTTGGGTAGGATACTGGCAATTTGATTTGTAAATTCAACTGGTATTAATGTCCTAATTTTGGTTCAATTAAAAAGAAATCTCTTTAACTTATGCAACAGTAGGGATTTAGAAATTAAATTAAGGTATATAACTGCAAAAACATTCTATTCAAAAAAGAAACTTATAAAAGAACTTACTCCTATTTGTTCAAATTACATATGGATTCTGGTTATAATGGTATTAGTTATTTTCCAGCCTTTTCTAAACAGTACCATTTTGGGTGAACTTTAAGTCAAGGTCTTAACTTGGATTAAATATAGTTAGCTTATATAAAATGTTTGAATGGCCAAGTGATTTTAGTTTCTAAGTTTGGTAAAAAGCAGAAAGAAGGCAATTTTTGGAAGGCAGAGTAAATTAAAAAAAAAATTTTTTTTTTCAGAAGTTGCTTTTAAATTTAAAAAAGTACTATGGCTATTGTTTTAGTTTTTAAAGATACCTCCTTTCTCATTTTGCCACCACAGTTTGCAACATACAGAAAGCATGTTTCACAAACTGTCATCATGCTGAGTGGGTATGCCACTAATTCAATAATTCTTTCATAGAAATAAGGAAATCAGGGTGGGTAGGCCAAAGGCTTTCTCTCTTAAAAAGAATATAAACTTTTGCTATAGCTCCTCTTTTCTCTTCTGAGCTCAATCTCTCATCTATAATTTTGTCATACTTGCAATACAATAAAATTCCAGGCTTTATGACAGAAGAGATATTTTTGGGTTTTGTTGGTTTCTTTCTTTGGTTGTTTCTTGCTTTTTTTTTGTTTTTTTGATCACTAGAATTCAACAACCAAAGCTTTAGTGTTTCGGGGTTTTTTCTCTGTTTGTTTTTTGCTTGGGGGTTGCAGGGAAGCATCTGCAGCCATGCGAGGAAGGAAGGGAGTGGTATGAACTCTCAGCAAGGAAGCCCAAACACACGGTGAGGCGAGTGCAGCAGCCCTATCTGTTGGTGCATCAATACCACCAGCTGCAGAATTTACCAACATTATGAAAACCACGTCCGCCAGATGTCATGCAATACAACAGGAAGCCAAATATCTCTGGGCTTGAGGCATGATTCTCCACGCTCTTTCCTCCCATGTTTCAAGGTGTCTTCAGGGGGCCACCAGCAGGGACAACAGGGACCTTATAACAGGATAACAGGGATAACAGCCCACATACAGAGCTTAATAACATGCCTGTCCCTACCAGACAGGCTTCAGTCTTGAAGTCCACCTCTTCCAGGTATTCTTGTTGTTGTTCTTGATGTTGTTAAGAGGCAATCTTAGCTCAGATTCTACGTGTCAGGGGCAGGAGAAACTTAACTGGCTACAAGCCAGTTAAGGATTTTTGTGGCTTACCGGGCTTATTATAAAATAATAATAATAATAGCTGTTTTTGCCATTGGGAAGAAAAGAATGTTTTCTTTTTGAATGTTTGAAAATATTTAAAGTCACTTTCCCACTCATTATTTTTTCCTTTAATTTATTTTTAATTGGAAGAGAATTGCGTTGTAACGCTGTGCTAGTTTCCACTCATTCTTTATACCCATTCTGTTCAGTATGGTAGCCACTAGCCACACATGGCTATTTGCATGAAATTTTAAATTCTGTTCCTCAGGCACACCAGCCACATTCAAGTGCTCAAGGCCATCTGTATCTAGTGACTATCCTATTGGAAATACAAAGCATTTCCATCAACACAGAAAATTATTTTAACATTGCTCTTAAACTCATCACCTTTTTTAAATGAGCCACTATGATTCAATTCTCTTTGTACTATGGAACAAAACAATCTTCCTGCATACTCATATGAAATAAATATATGGATACAATACAAATACTGTATGAGAAGACAAAGGTGGAAGTGATCTCTGTAATATTTTCACAAACACACGCTGTCCTCACAAAGCCCTGTGATGCTACCAGCTTGCTGGATAATATTCAGAGGCCCGCCTGGATGGGTGTTCCATGACAAAGAAGCAAGAAACTATTCTTTCTTACGCATCACCTTAATTTGTTAATGATGCCACCTATATCAAACAGTTTACATCAGAAGTTTCCTTACTTACATATCCAAATGTGTAAAATAAATCATGTCCTTTGGAAAAGAGGCTGCCCAGCTTCACAGCTTTGTAATTGAGGTACTTTAATACCAAGTAAACATCGTAGGCCACAGCTGTTTCTAAAAAATTTTATGAACAAGAACAGGAGGCCGGTATAATATAAATCCACAAATAATGCTTCTGACTCCCAGGCTCACCCGCTGTGAGGGCGGGGAGGCCACGCAACTCAAGAGGAGCTGCGTGGGCATTCCTGCGATGCTGTAACCCCTGGGGGACAGTGGGGCGCAGAACAGGGCGCGTGGGGCGGGGTGCGCAGCACACGGGGCGCAGACCTTTGACCCTGTCCTGAGGATGCCATGTCAGACCACCTGGCACATGAGACAGGCAGCCCTTGCACACACGTGGGCACCTCTGCCCTCACACGTGCAGGGTGCGTCCAGGTGCTGGGCTAACTTTGCCTCGGCTTCCTTTAGGTCTTCCCATCCTCCCCACAAAATCACCCAGCCCCGTCAACCCATTACCCACTTTCTCTTCCCCAGTCCCAGTTTCTTCTTATTCACAACAGACAAAGAAGAACAAGGTGAAAAAAAATAAAGGTTTTTCCTAATTTCCTCCGCTCCATCATCAAAAGCAAAAAAAGATCTGCTCTTTTTCTTTGGGATTGGTAACTGTTCTTTATCAGATTCTCATAAAGATCACAGAGCTACCACCCAAGAGAAGCTAAAAAAAATTCCCTGTGTCCACCTGGCCAGTTAGAGGTTCCCGGGCTGTCTATAAGACTTTCTGGTCATTCCCCTCCCACCCCCTCCTACCCTCTCCCACCCAGCTCTCCCCGCTTACCTTGGCCTTCCCATCCTGGGCGGACATGTATCCAACACACATGCTCTCGGTCGTGTGGCTCCACAAAAATTCCACTGCCAGGGAAGGGAATACAAATAGGCACATTCAGATCACAGATGGAAAATAAATCTCTGCTTTTTAATAGAACAGTTAAAGATAGCTTTATATTCAACACACTCGGCTCCCGACTTTCCATTCGCTCCTTCATAAATGTCAAGATGATTTAGTACTCAAAAGTGTGTAATGCCATTTACTGTGAAATGAAAAATGTATTTCTTTCTTGTCAAAACTTATGATTATTACATGTAAAATAAATGCTCCTCTGTTTGAAACTTGTAACATTAAACACACACACATACACACACACACACACACTTATGCATACAGTATACAATGATTTAGTAAACATTATATTCCATAACGTAGTTTCCTTTAAAACACACATACACACACACTCCCTATGTCAAGGTTTTTTAAATATCATTCTCTATGAAAAGGAACCAGGGTTCCTTGGAGAAATGTTGATTCCAGGGCCTGGGCAGAGAAAATATTAAACAAATCTGGAACATCTTTTTGTGCCAGAAGATAAGGAAGTCCTCAAAGAATGATGAAGGCTTGAGAAAGGACCCATGGATCAGCCTGAAGAGACCCCCACTGGCCATATCTGTGTCAATCTAAGTATCAGAATAAATAGTAACAGTAAAGAATTATCATTACTGAACAAAATTTAAATCAATGAGCCCATACTAGTCCCAGGTCCCAGCCTGTCTAACTAATACAAACAAATAGGAATAAGTAAAATGGGGGAGAAGAGAAAGCACTTCCTTGTAGCTGAATGCCAACTAATAAATACAGAAGAAATAACAGAGTTAGAAAAGCATCACACTTTCAAAAACTAGGAAAATTTGAAAAGGAGTATGCTTTTTACAAAGTCTCAATGGGATCTCTCCAGAAAATTATTATGAAATACAAAGGGGCAAAGGGTAAGTGAGTTCACCGTGGAGAAACCCAATGGACCCCACTTTAATCAAATGATGGAAGCTAACATCACCCAGTAAGGGGCAAATCAACACAACGTGTCTCCGGATCAGACACCCTGAGACTCACTGCCACTTGTGCAGTGTTCCCGCCAAAAACACAGACTCAGAATTGCAGGGGGAAACACCACACAAATCTGATATAGGAACACTAATAAATAAACTGGCCTGAACTCTTCAAAAGATGTCCAAGTCAAAAAATACAAAGTTGAGAAACTGTTCCCATTTAAAGGTGACGAATGCAGCCCAGGGAATTCCCTGGTGGGCCAGGGGTTAAGACTCTGCTTCACTGCTAAGGGCCCAGGTTCAATCCTGGCCAGGGAACAAAGATCCCACAAGCTGTGCCGCATGTCCAAAAGCAAAGAAAGAAAGAAAGAAGACAAAGGCGATACGACAACTAAAGGCAATGTGTCCTTCTGGATGGAGCCTGGATAGGGGTGGGGGTGTTTGAAGGGACATTCCTGAAACAAGTGATGGACTTTGAAAATGGACTATGGATTAGAGAATGGTGTGGTATCAATAGTAAACTCTGGGATTTGGATAACTATACTATGATTACTTAGAAGAACCTTGTTGTTCTTCAGAAATATGCACTGAAGTATTAAGAGTAAAGACTCAATCTCTTCACCTTGCTCTCAAGTCATTCAGATAAGAAAGTAGAGTTTAAATGTGTGTGTGTGTGTAAAGGGAAGAGGGAGGGATGGAAGGGAGAAGTAAAGACGGAAAAAACAAACAGGGGAAATGAAAACAGAGCAATGTGGGTTACAAAACCACAGGTGTCCCCTGTTCTATTCTCAAAACCTCTGCATAAATGTGAAATTATATCTAAAAGTTATAGAAAGAAAAATACTGAGATACACACAAAACTCTGTCACCTTCAGCTACTTACTTTCAAAATTCTTACTTTCAAAATGCTTTTTTAAAGGCATTTTTAAAGCTTTGATGCACTTGACAAAAATTTCACAAGTCCCGGGTAATAAAACTGCCTCGCTCAACACCAAGCCTCCGGGTCCTGAGCCATCCATTTCTCTCTCTGAGCTAATTAGGTCTGAAGACACTGTGTGGGCTGAGACACAACTGTGGGCTCTGCGCTCCTGACTCTGAAGGCTTTGCCGAAGGCAGAGGCATGAGAGGCAGCTCTGAGCTCCTCAAATAGCGGCTCACTCCTTCATCATTAACTAGTTCTCAAATATGCCAACCTGTTCTGCAGATGCTCCGCCTACAAGTGCAAGAAAACAGCATCAGGCAATGAAGCAAGCTCTCTCCACCAGATGCTTTTCCTTCCTCACACATCTGCTTTGAACTTCAAAAAGCCTGACGTCCAGAGCAAGGTCTGGGATATTCTAAATTGCCTAATAGAGCAAAGGCCTTCAAGTCTTACCAAACTTCCCTAGTGTAGTGCCAATGCAATTATATTTAAATACAAAATTCAGGTATTTCCAATACTGTGACCTCTCTTTATTCCCCAAATGTTAAGGTGGTAACTGCTCATGAATTAGCCAAGAAAAAAATGCATGGAAATACAGTCAATTTAATCATGCAAGGATAAAAACAGCACATTATTTTTTAAGGCACAATTTTGATGATTTCAAACTACATTATTCTCTGAAAATACAGCTTGCTTTAAGGAAATGTAACACACAAAAATTGAGACTTACAAAGCAGGATAAACTGGGTCTGATGATTGACAACATTAAATATTTTTCTATTGAAAGGTTATCAATAAAGCATCTAGATAGAGAGTTTAGGAGTTCTTAAAGTAACTCAATATCTAGAAATTCAGTCTTCCTTCACTCTTTTCACAAATAAACAAAAAAAGGAGGTGCATTTACTAGCACTTTCTTTTTTTTTTGCCTGACCTTGTGGCATATGGGATCTTAGTTACCCAACCAGGGATGGAATCTATGCCCCATGCAGTAGAAGCATGGAGTCTCAACCACTGGGCCGCCAGAGAAGTCCCTAACACACTCTTTAATAACAACAATTCACATCAGTTACTAGTTCAGGATAGCTTCAGACACTCAGCAGGAATTGTCTATTTAAATTATAAAATATTTTTGAGAAGAAATCTTATTTACTTTAGTGTATATCTTAACTCAATAACTTAATACACTATTAATAATAATTTAACAAATTATTTCTTGCTGGAGGACTTCAGGGAGGCAGGAGAGGAACTCACAGTGACAGTCTTTCATCTGCCAAGCATTGCTTTTCATGGCAGAACTCAGCAAAGCCTGGATGGGGAACTGGGGCTCAGAGAAGGGAGGTAACACTCTCACAGAATAATGGTGGGAGTATGACCGTTTGGAAATACATTCTTGTAATTTGTAGTAGTTATGGTCTGTAAGTTTGCCATGAACACTGAATTAGCAAACACTGAGCCATTGCTCCCAAGGGAAATACAAGGTTACGGTCCTGCAAGCCTCTGGTCACAACATTTTCAAGAAGTAACCTTATTTGATGTGTATTTTCTGTTTAGAGACACCTTACATAACATATGGTGGTTTAGTCGCTAAGTCATGTCTGACTCTTGGGACACCACGGACGGTAGCCTGCCAGGTTCCTCTGTCCATGGGATTCTCCAGGCAAGAATCCTGGAGTGGGTTGCCATTTCCTTCTCCAGGGGATCCTCCAGACTCAGGAATCAAACCCGGCTCTCCTGCATTGCAGGCCGATTTCCGCACTACAGGCGCATTCTTTACTGACTGAGCTATGAGCAAAGTCCCTGTAACATATACTTCTTATAGATAATTAATTTTATGCAATAAATTCTCCAGGCAAGAACCCTGGAGTGGGTTGCCATTTCCTTCTCCAGGGGATCCTCCAGACCCAGGAATCAAACCCGGCTCTCCTGCATTGCAGGCCGATTTCAGCACCACAGGCGCATTCTTTACTGACTGAGCTATGAGCAAAGTCCCTGTAACATATACTTCTTATAGATAATTAATTTTATGCAATATTTCTTTATAGTAATACACTAGCCAAGAAAAGCTCAATACTTTCTTGGCCCTGGAGGACCTGCCCCCAAATCTCGTCGGCTTTCAGCCTCACAGCAATGCTGTCCCTTGTGCTCTTTTCACCAGTTGTCGTCTCCTGACTCCAAAAGTCCTGCTGCTTTCCCGGCTCAAATTTTCCCCCACTCTGCTCATGTCCACAAATGACTGGGAAAGTGCTGGGAGCACTGGTCTTTCAATTAGAAGTAAATTTCATCAAGCAAGAAGATTCACAAATACGAATTTGCAAATAATAAGAATAGACTCCTTTTATCAAAATGACATACACTTTAACCTAGCAATTCTCCTTTTAGGTATTGAGTGTACAGATATGCCTTTGTATGTATAAAATAACATCTTTACACAGATATTCACTGAACTAATTTTAATTAGGAAGAAACTGGAAATATTAACAGCACGGTTGTCTTTTGGTGGCAGCATATATGCACAACTATGGTACCCTATTCAATGGAATACTATGCAACAATTATAAAAGAGAAAGCTCTATGAAGATGATATGGAACCATCCACACTAACTGTTTTTTCAAATGTTTTGCCAGGAACCACAGTAAAACCAAAGCAAAACAAAAAAGCCCCCTACATTGTCATTGAGTACGTGGTTTCTTTCTATTCTGTGGGCTCTTTATAGTCTATGTGCTACAGTGAAAAGATTCTGCTCCTCTTGACTCACCAAATTAGACCTCATTAATGTGACATGCTACAGTTTGGAAAAAAACACTAATCTACAAAATATACAGTTTATCTAAAAGAAAAGACAAAGTGAAGAAAGATGGTAAAAGATGATACTGCTCATTTCTGTGAAAGAAAATGACAGGGCATCATGGATGACTCATGTTTGTAAATACATGAGCTCTCTCTGGAAGAACATCAGAGGAACCAGCAACAGTGGTTATCACGAGAGAGGCAACTGGTGATTCAGGAAGCTGAAAGCGGGGGCAACCTACTTCTCACCACATATCCAGCAGCTAAGATGCTGCCTTCCAGTTCAGAGGGTACAGGTTCGATCCCTGGCCAGGGAAATAA